ACTTGGAGAGTGGTCAGTTTAGATGAGCTATTACCAGCAGGAGAGTGAGTTTGTGTGTGTATGGGGGTGGGGGGGATGTGAGAAAACCTGGATCTATGCAGGAAATAGCCTGACTTGATTATGTAAAGAGTTGTCACTTTGGATGGGCTAGCACCAGCAGGAGAGTGAATTTGTGTGGGGGGGTGGAGGGTGAGAGAACCTGGATTTGTGCTGGAAATGGCCCACCTGATGATCACTTTAGATAAGCTATTACCAGCAGGACAGTGGGGTGGGAGGAGGTATTGTTTCATATTCTCTGTGTGTATATAAAGTCTGCTGCAGTTTCCACGGTATACATCTGATGAAGTGAGCTGTAGCTCACGAAAGCTCATGTGCCACAAGTACTCCTTTTCTTTTTGCGAATACAGACTAACACGGCTGTTCCTCTGAAACCTGATATATCCTAAGCTATCAGTAGAGTTGATCTCCCTCAGATACTTCCAACTCTTAATACTTAAAAAACTGACCACAAAACTGAGTTATTTTTGTTAGTAATTAATGGAGCTGGATGGATCAATTACCTCACCGTGATTGCTATGGATAGCACTGTCACAGCGTGTCTTCACTTGAGGGTTCAAGTTTGTTCCACTTCATTAAACCCTGTAGGAATGTTTTTATATATAAAGTGTTCCACACATTACACAGATGTCAGTGTGGAGAGCTACAAACATCTGGGCCAAAGCCAGCTAATTCAAGGGCCTGCTCTTTTTGCTTTCTTAAGCAAACAGTGAAAAATGAGACTATTTCACAGCACTTTGTAGGAGCGCCTAAGGAAAGCTAAATCTCTATTTTTTCCTTTCCCTCAGGCCAACCCTACAATCTGCTTATTAAGTACACACTCAGTATAATAAATCTTTGTTTTGAAACATTCAGAGCATAACTGGGAGCTGTAAATATTATTCCTGTGGTTAGACAACTAAATTATACCTGGACTGTGAAATGACTTCAGGACACAGCTGGGCACAGTGGAGCACCCCATCCCCTTCTCTTTTTTCAGATGAATTTGTACTGGTAAAAGGAGCCAGACTGGCAGGTTTGGAGGCTGAAGCCCTCTGTTTAGCCACAGAATGGGTACAGCACAGGCAGCATTAGGGCAAGACTCCACACACTAGACCCTGCTAAAGTGCTTCATCCTGGTTCTGGAAAGAATATCTTCAGGGCTCTTCAAAGCTTGTGCCTTTGCCTTCTACCTGACTCCCACCCAAAGTTAGAGATGCTATGCTCAAACATTCATACGTTTGATTTAAAAACCCAAACAAGATGTGCAAACAGCAATATTACATCTACCGATATTTCACTACTGTAACCCTCACTCCCCCATATTTCTTCCTTCACCTTTGTTTATTTGTATCTCTGCTGTGTTAAGTTTGATCTAGCTGGTAAGATCCACAAGCCAAGGACCTATTAATTTTAATGACCTATGTGTGCATAGCAGCACCGTATAAACAAATATAGGGGAAAAGGGATTAATGGCCCCTTTAGTCCTTGGTCTCTACCAAAACAGGGAGCTATATATCAGCAATTGTGACAGTGAGTTTTGCAACAGATGTACCTACGCAAAAGAAACTAGACTAAGATTGCCAACTAGCAAGAACTTTTAGTCACTGCCAATTTATGTCGGATTTTAACAAGTGACATAGCAGCAGAAGGCTTTACCCAGGCACAGAGACATTCAGTACTACACTTAAATAAGTGGGTGCAGTGGCTAAGTGTCAGGGAACTAATACTCAGGACAATGCACAGCAAATCTACTACTGAATATATTATAAAGTATACATTCTACTACATAATATGGTAGTCATAAGACTGTCTATATTTAAGGGATTATCGTGCTTCTCAGACGGGCAGAATGACTTATGCTCCTTCTTGCCCCACCTATCATCTGAGGCAAGATATCATTGCCCATATATGTACGGTCCTTAACTTAACCCGTTGTGCTTCAATACTGTAAATGCTAAAGTTTTTCATAGCACTGGCCTGACCCTTCAACATACAGTCTGAAAGTGAGGAGTTTGGGGCAGAGTGGTTACCCTAATTTAGTCATATTTAGATAATATACTGCTCATGGCAGCCAACTTAAACAACAACACTGAATTTTTTTTTCCAGATATTGCATCAATTCTGTTTATTGTACATTCTGAACTTCCTTTGTGGTAATAAAGGAAAAGAAAAATAAACTTGTGTTGAGTGCTCTCTATTGGCAGGAAATAGCCTAACATTTTAGGAATCATTCCAATGAATGATGATCCATAATATTAAAATAATACAAACCACTAATACATGGATCTTACCCACAATACATAATAATGGTTTCTTCAGTAGCACAGAATGGGTCTGTTACACTGAGAACAATTAACATGAAAATTCATAATATGGAGATATCCAAAGAACAAGTTACGCCTAGACACAGAGTAGCCAAGTATCAAAGATTAATACTTTGGTCTTCTTAAAAGAGGCCAATAATTCAAGTATTTTTCAAGTGAGCTTTATGCTGATGATTCACACCACTACAAACTGGGGGAAGAACAGGTAACAGGGTATACAAAGTGGAAACTCCCCCACGCTGCCTTACTGATGTGTCTCAGATCTAACGGAGAGTGAAGACAGAGAAGAGTGCGACAGGAGATCAGTCCCAAAGGCCATTCAATCCTTGTTCTCTTTACGGCAGCCAAACAGGGAGCCTGCGAGGATGTGGGACTTTCCATGAGGAATGGAGCTAGAACCACTCATTCACTTCCCAGGAGGCCAAACAGCTGTCAGATAACCGCTTTGGATCATTACAGCGCTCTGCTAGATTTTAACCAATGGCCAAGTAGCAGAAGGCTCTGCTATATCAGATCACCGATGTCCCACAGCACTCTTTGATTCCAAGTCTGCAGAACTGGCTAGGCAGTTTAGCTTCCACTGCACATCATCCATCTTGATTCTACCTATGTAGGATTATCTGGGAGGAGCTGCCAACAGTCAACCTTCCTCCCACGTACATATTCTGGAGCAGTTTATGTTACTCCTGGGGATCTCAAAACTTAAGCTGAGCCTGAACCTGCAAACTAACTTGTGAGCACTATGAGCCTAATCTATAACCCGGTGGTTCTCAGCCAGGGGTACACATACCTCCTTGGGGGTACACAGAGGTCTTCCAGGGGGTACATCAACTCATGTTGATATTTGCCTAGTTTTACAACAGACTACATAAAAAGCACTAGCAAAGTCAGTACAAATTAAAATTTCAAACAATGACTTGTCTATACTGTTCTATACACTATACACTGAAATGTAAGTACAATATTTATATTCCAAGCCATTTATTTTATAATTATATGGTAACAGTGAGAAAGTAAGCAATTTTACAGTAAAAGTGTGCTGTGATACTTTTGCATTTTTATTTCTGATTTTGTAAGTAAGTAGTTTTTAAGTGAGGTGAAAGTTGGGGGTACGCAAGACAAATCAGACCCCTGAAAACAGTAATCTGGAAGGTTGAGAGCTATCACTATAACCAATCCTCTGAGCCGTCTCTTCCCTAGACAATAGTTTCTATTACAAACTACATTTTATTAATCAGATTAAAAATCATATTTAACAAGCCCATATTTCCTTTTCCATGGTATTTGAGATTGTCTCCCGCACAAACACTTCATTTCTCTCAGCACAGACATGAAAATGTATTTATTTTCACTTTTGTTTCTTCTCATTTTTTAAATAAAGGTTACTTTTGAGATTTTCCCAAAGAGAATAATGTTTCAAGGTTCAGGTTCCAAACATTAAGGGAGACTTTTTTTTTTTTTTTTTTAAGAAAACTTTAAGTTGACATTTGAAAATAGCCCAGTGTAAATATTTCTAGTGGTTTTAGCTTTTATAAAGCTTATTTTTCCAAAACCTAAATTTGGAGACATCCTTCACACTTTATTTAAACAAGCTTTATTTTATAAAATTGCTTTAAACTGAAAAGCTGCCTGACAAATTTCACCTCAAACTGATCTTTAGCAAATGCCTTATAATAGTAATGCTAGAAAAGCAAATATAGTGGCACAATTTCTGATCTCAAACCTCAGCTGAAAAGGTTCTCTCGCTCTCAAAATTTTTCACCCGTTTATATCTGTAACTGTATGTAACTCCATGGAGCATTTTGGAATACAGTATATTTAGGTGACAGGATACAAATAAAAATTGTATTGTAGTATATAACAAAACTACATTTATGCTTGACAACTCCAACTGTTGTTATAAGTTCCCAACTGATCTTTTGACCTCGAGACTAGCTACAATGGAGTTCTGCTCTAGAACATGACTATTAGGATTGTTTCTCAAATATTTCCAGAGCAAAAGTGCTCAGTGGACAAGTTGAAAATGTGTGTACGTTTTTTCTAACTGCCACCACTGCAAACTCAATATGGAAGTAAAAAAAAAAAAAAAAAAGCTACGTCCTCTTTCTGGCTTACAATATCACAAACAAAGATCTGCAAACATTTATACACATTTAATATTACTCATATGAGTAATGTGAATAAGTATTTGAAGGATCAGGCCCCTAGTTAACAATTCTAGTAAGAGGAGCATGATAATACATGACCCAGAATAGAACACAGCTCCGTCTCCCAGAGCTAACAGGTATAAGAAGCAGCAAAATATATTTTAGTTAATGACAAGATATATTTTTCACTTCACAGGGGGTTGAGGAAGAAGGTGCCATTTTTACATAGTCATGAATATGAAACCCAGAACCAACAGGCCAAGTACCATCCTGGAGCATCCACATTAGAGTCAATTAAATGTAAACACCTTTAGAGGAATTCATCACCTCCACATTTTTACAACAGCCTGAACCAGATAAAAGAGAGATGGAAGGGACCTATTAAATCCCTTAATATATCAGTAGCTAATGCAGAACTGGTGTACATTTTGCAACACAACACTGCCAGAAGTAGAGGCATTAAAAAAAGACAAGTAAAATGAAAGCAAACCTGATATTTATTTGGTTCCCACCTGTCCTCTCTGGGTTATCAGTTCAAGCCTGACAGCGACCCATTTGCCAAGGCCAACTCAGTTCAAATAAAGCAAGTGACACTGAACCACCTTCTGATGCAAGGCTACCCTGAAAACACTTCCCATCCTGCCAAGTCAGTTGCTTTCCTCTATACAGGGCATCACCCCCCCCCTCAATCCCCAGCCCCAGGGGGAAGCAGGGATGAATTGTTCAGCTGCAGTTTGGTTTGCTGGGGCGCTCAGCCCAACATCCATGAGAGGAAATAAACGACAAGGGGTTCCCGGGCTCAGCCAAGCGGCCCCCTCTCCACCCAGAAGCCAGGGTGAGCCTGGAGGCTGCAGGGAAGAGAGCCTCAGGGGCTCACTCGATTTGGGGGGGGGGGAGGTCCTCAAGCTGGTCTCTAGCCAGTCACTGCCGGGGAAAGGGGGCACCTCTCCTGAGGTGGAGGCACCCCTCAGTAACCACGCTGAAGAGAACCCCCCCCCGGGTCACCCGTGGGGAGCAAGGATCCCCTCAGCGATAGCACAAGGGAGCAGCTCGACTGGGGCAAAAGGGGGCACCCCAAGGACAGGGGGGCGCGTGGGGGGGTCCTGCCCTGGGGCGCTGTCCGCGCGAGGGGGGGGCGCGGGGGGGTCCTGCCCTGGGGCGCTGCCCGCGCGAGGGGGGGCGGGGGGGGGGGGTCCTGCCCTGGGGCGCTGCCCGCGCGAGGGGGGGGGCGGGGGGTCCTGCCCTGGGGCGCTGCCCGCGCGAGGGGGGGGCGGGGGGGTCCTGCCCTGGGGCGCTGCCCGCGCGAGGGGGGGGCGTGGGGGGGGTCCTGCCCTGGGGCGCTGCCCGCGCGAGGGGGGGGCGTGGGGGGGGTCCTGCCCTGGGGCGCTGCCCGCGCGAGGGGGGGCGGGGGGGGTCCTGCCCTGGGGCGCTGCCCGCGCGAGGGGGGGCGGGGGGGGTCCTGCCCTGGGGCGCTGCCCGCGCGAGGGGGGGGGCGGGGGGGTCCTGCCCTGGGGCGCTGCCCGCGCGAGGGGGGTCCTGCCCTGGGGCGCTGCCCGCGCGAGGGGGGGCGCGTGGGGGGGTCCCGCCCTCGGCCACTCCCTAGGTGAGGGGGTCTCTCGCGGCGGGGGTCCCGGACTCCCAGCTTCCTCACCTGCAGCCGCTCTGCGAAGAAATAAACCGCACCACAGCCGCAACACGGGGGCGGCCGCACTGCGCAGGCGCGGCGTGCGCCCCGCCCCGTAGCCAATAGACAGGGGACGTGGAGCGGGACGGAGGGGAGGGGGCACCCACTCCGCCAGCGCAGCCGCACACAGACCCTGCCAGGGACCGGGGAGAGTGTGCAACGCCCCAATACAGCCGCACACAGACCTTGCCAGGGACCGGGGAGCGTGTGCAACCCCCCAATACAACCCGCACACGGATTCTGCCACCCCCTGGCTTAAACCTCCTGGTTCCCATCATACACAGCATCTGCAGTTTGGTTCAATGGCTCTCAACACCCCCACTATACAAATTGTTCCAGCACCTCTCCTGGAGGCACCTGGAGGGTGATCTAGGGAGTGGCGCCAGGATCAACCCCAAAGCAAATGGGGGGCTGGGGGCTGTGTGCAGAAGAGGGTGTAATGCATTCAGCCCTTTGCAGCAATCACACCCTGGCTTCACACAGTGCTTGGAGCACTCCGCCCGGATTCAACGTGCCGCTACACCTCTGCAGTTTGATTAGCCTTTTGCTCAGCGTCTGCAGCATAGTCTTTGCTCCTTGCCTTGTACGCCCCCCGCCCCCGAACTGCAACAGGAGTGGTAGTGCAGGGTGCCCCTTCTCAGTGACATTAACAATCAGAGCTGGCGGTACCAGTCTCCCCATCCCAATGGCTTTGCAACGAGGGCTGGTGGTGCCAGGCTGGCCACCCCATTGCACTGGACTCAGGGACAATCATTTTGCCAAGTGGCTGGAGAGCTGGTTGGTTCTTTTGTGCATGGTAAATACTGTAAAATATCAAAAGCTGCATGTTCTCTGGCCTGGATGAAAGATGCGGCAGTGTGTGGGAGTGATTATGGGGGAACAGATGATACAGTAGCATGGGGTAAGTAGCGAAGCACTTGATGGGGTTGGCCATATGTACGCTACAAAATTAAGTCGACTTTATCTAATTCGACCTTGAGCCTCTGAATGACTTAAGTCGATTGTGCGTGGCCACACCATGCTCATTGTCTCCATGGAGTGCGTCCTCAGTAGCAGTGCCTGCATCAATGCACAAAGTAGTGCATCGTGGGTAGCTATCCCAAAGTGCAACTTGCCGCAGTGTGTTTTGGGAAATTTGTGCAATGCCTCATAGGACCAAAACATTGTCCTGGGAGAATAGGAACATTGTGTCGGCATCCCACTCAATGGCAAACAACTCAGTGGTTTTCGCGCCTTAAAACGCGTACACCAGAACCCCAGAAGCATGGAGCCTGCTCAGTTGTGCACTCTTGCTGTGAGCATCTCAAACATCTTGTGCATTCTCCTGCAGTATTTCCAGAGCCGAAGTAGGGTCTGCTGCACAGAACATAGCAATGTCCTGCAAGCAGCCCTGCTGCAAGCCATTGAAAAAAGCAATTCACAGTTACTACTGGCAGTCACAGAGCAGCTGCACACTGTTGAGCGCCGTTTCTGGTCCCAGAGTAGCAGCTGTGTTAGTCTGTATTCGCAAAAAGAACAGGAGTACTTGTGTCACCTTAGAGACTAACAAATTTATTTGAGCATAAGCTTTCGTGAGCTACAGCTCGCTTCATCGGATGCATGCAGTGGAAAACACAGTAGGGAGATTTTCTATACACAGAGAACATGAAACAATGGGCATTACCATACACACTGTAATGAGAGTGATCAGGTAAGGTGAGCTATTACCAGCAGGAGAGAAAACAAAACCAAAAACCTTTTGCAGTGATAATCAAGATGGGCCATTTCCAGCAGTTGACAAGAACGTGTGAGGAACAGTGGGGGGGGAAATAAACATGGGGAAATAGTTTTACTTTGCGTAATGACACATCCACTCCCAGTCTTTATTCAAGCCTAATTTAATGATGTCCAGTTTGCAAATTAATTCCAATTCAGCAGTCTATCGTTGGAGTCTGTTTTTGAAGATTTTTTGGTGCATCATCAAAGATCTACAACCTATTCTGAAGGACGACCCACCACTCTCACAGATCTTGGGAGACAGGCCAGTCCTTGCTTACAGACAGCCCCGCAACCTGAAGCAAACGCTCACCAGCAACCACACACCACACAACAAAAACACTAACCCAGGAACCTATCCTTGCAACAAAGCCCATTGCCAACTGTGTCCACATATCTATTCAGGGGACACCATCATAGGGCCTAATAACATCAGCCACACTATCAGAGGCTCATTCACCTGCACATCTACCAATGTGATATATGCCATCATGTGCCAGCCATGCCCCTCTGCCATGTACATGGGTCAAACTGGACAGTCGCTATGTAAAAGAATAAATGGACATAAATCAGACGTCAAGAATTATAACATTCAAAAACCTGTTGGAGAACACATCAATCTCTCTGGTCACTCGATTACAGACCTAAAAGTTGCAATTCTTCAACAAAAAATCTTCAAAAACAGACTCCAACAAGAGACTGCTGAATTGGAATTCATTTGCAAACTGGACACCATTAACTTAGGCTTGAATAAAGACTGGGAGTGGATGTGTCATTACGCAAAGTAAAACTATTTCCCCATGTTTATTTTTCCCCCCTACTGTTCCTCACACGTTCTTGTCAACTGCTGGAAATGGCCCATCTTGATTATCACTGCAAAAGGTTTTTAGTTTTGTTTTCTCTCCTGCTGGTAATAGCTCACCTTACCTGATCACTCTTCTTACAATGTGTATGGTAACACTCATTGTTTCATGTTCTCTGTGTATAGAAAAGCTCCCTACTGTATTTTCCACTGCATGCATCCAATGAAGTGAGCTGTTGTTGGATCATATTAAAGAAGTTCTGTATTAAAATCAAGAATGAGTTTGATTCCCCATAGTTTAAATTCCAGGGTATTACTAATTAAGAGGTCTCTTGGTTTTTAGTACTGTTTCTCTTCCTCTATGTGTGAAACTTGCAAGCTGCTAATTTGTTTTAGTACATTCTAAGACAGAGTCTGTTCTCAAAGCAATTCTTTGTAACAACAACTACTCACACAGAGAGAGACTCAAAGCAATACTCTGTAACAACAGAAACAGCACCCAGAGACTCCCCACCCTTTTGTTGTATTCATCTCGCTTTGTTAACAATTGTGATTAAAATAGAGATAGAGGATGTATGTGGATGGATGCTTGGTGTGGATAATAACTGAATGATCAGGGAGGTGCCAGCCTAAGAATCCAGTGTCCATCGGCTGAAGAAGAGGTCAAGTGGAAATAACCAGAGGACCCCCGGAGGGCAGACTGGAATCCACCCAACAGCCTCAAGAATGGGAGAACCAAAGAACAAGATAACATCTGGCAGCACGGAGCCGTCAGGAATGTGACATCTGCTGATTGATTCAGCAACAGCATGATGAAGCAATTCCCATAGACTGGCATAGGAAGAAATTCCTATAAAAATGGACTCTAGAAAGTGAGAACTTTGGGGTCTGATTCTGCAAACCAACTTCCAGGAGCATCAGATGAGCATCTGACAAGTCTCTGCTCCCTCCTCACGTCCAGGCCACCTGGCCAGTGGCCTGGCATGAGCAACTCTAAGGCTGGTAACTATGATAACAACATTACAGAACCTGTATGTGTGTGTGTGTGTGTGTGTGTGTGTATGAATGAATGTGTGAATAAATATGAAATTGAATGGAATGCTATAGCTATAGCTATAACTAACTGCTTACTATGATTCTTTCTGTATTCACAATAAATGTGGCATTTTGCCTTTTCCCCTTTAATAAAATCCTGCTGGTTTTTATTTTATTGGTATAACACTGTAGCTCACGAAAGCTTATGCTCAAATAAATTTAGTCTCTAAGGTGCCACAAGTCCTCCTTTTCTTGTTTCTGGTCCCGTGAAACAAGCACTGACTGGTGGGACCACATCATTTTGCAGGTCTGGGATGACAAGCAGTGGCTGCAGAACTTTCGAATGCGGAAGGCCAGCTTCCAGGAACTTTGTGCAGAGTTTTCCCCTGCCCTGCAGTTCAGCCTCACAAAAATGAGAGCTGCTCTGACAATGGAGAAGCGAGTGGCAATCACTATTTGGAAGCTTGCAACGCCAGACAGTTACCAGTCAGTGGGGAATCAATTTGGAGTGGATAAATCACTTTGGGAGTTGCTGTGCTCCAAGTGTGCAGGGCCATTAATTGACTTCGGCTATGAAGGGTAGCAAGTCTGGGAAATGTGCAGGACGTAGTGGATGGTTTTGCCGCAGTGGGGTTCCCTAACTGTGGTGGGGTGATAGATGGCACAAATATCCCCATCTTGGCACCAGACCAGCTTGCCAAAAAGTACATAAACCAAAAGGGATACTTTTCAATGGCATTGCAAGTGCTGGTGGATCACAGGGGGCATTTCACCGACATCAGCGTAGGATGGTCGGGAAAGGTTCATGACGCGCACATCTTTAGGAACTCGGGTCTGTTCAAAAAGCTGCAGTCTGGGACTTTCTTTCCAGTCCACAGAATGAACATTGATGACATTGAGATACCTATAGTTACCCTGGGGGACCCAGCCTACCCCTTGCTCCCATGGCTCATGAAGCCGTACACCGGCCATCTGGACAGCAGTAAGGAACGGTACAATTATAGGCTCAGCAAGTGCAGAATGGTGGTTGAATGTGCCTTTGGTCGTTTGAAAGGGCGCTGGAGCAGTTTACGGACAAGGTTGCACCTTAGTGAAGAGAAGATCCCAATGGTTATAGCTGCTGACTGTGTGCTCCATAATCCCTGTGAAAAAAAGGGGGGAAATTTTCCACAGGGTCTGGCAGTTGAGACAGATCACATGGCAGCCATTTTTGAGCAGCCAGACACCAGGGCAATAAGAAGAGCACAGCAAAGGGCACTGCGTATCCCGAGGCTTTGAAAAGCCGTTTCAGTAATGAGTCACAGTAATGTGAACTGCTTGTCTGCATTGTGCTTTCCCAAACCTTCATCTGCCTTGTATCACTGTCCTTGTAAAGCCAACCCCTCCCCCCAAGCCCACTGCTTCTATCAATAAAGAACATTTATTTCTCAAATCCATTTACTTTATTTAACAAACATAAGTAAAAAAGGGGAACAGGAAAAAAAAGGTAACCTTGGGGAAAAGAGGTTGTAAAGTTGGAACGGGAGAAACATTTTCAGCTGTCAGAATAGCAGCCATGTTAGTCTGTATCCGCAAAAAGAACAGGAGGACTTGTGGCACCTTAGAGACTAACAAATTTATTAGAGCATAAGCTTTCGTGAGCTACAGCTCACTTCATTGGATGCATGCAGTGATCCGATGAAGTGAGCTGTAGCTCATGAAAGCTTATGCTCAAATAAATGTGTTAGTCTCCAAGGTGCCACAAGTCCTCCTGTTCTATTTTCAGCGTGTAACATAACACCGCATTCCAGACCATCAAAGGCCTGTGAATGGGCGCCTTCTGTTCCTTGTACCCTCCCCCACTTGGGGGAGGGTGATTCTGGGCCAGGCGATGCTGGCTGGCTGTCCACCAGGGTCTGCAGGGGGACTCTACCCTCCTGCTTCTGTTCCTGCTATTCAACCAGACGCCTCAACAGGTCTGCTTGGTCCCTCATAATCTGAAGCATCTCATCCTGCGCTGCTCGCTCGTGCTCACTGGAAGCTTTCCTGCTCTCCATGTCCATGTCTAACTGTGACAGGTTGGATCACAGAAGGCCCCTGGGGAACTGCCACCTGATGTGCTGAGACTACCTCTGAGCCCATTTTCCCTGGCGGCCTGGGACTTCAGCGCCCTGCCTGGTTGTGCCAGACACGCCAGCCTGCTACAAACACAGACCCAGGTCTGAACCAAGTCCCCCAAAAGCTGCAGGCTTAACTGAAAACAGCTGAAGAAATGCTCCTGTTTCCAGCACTCGGATACCCAACTCCCAATGGGGTCCAAACCCCAAATAAATCCGTTTTATCCTCTATAAAGCTTATACAAGGTAAACTCATAAATTGTTCGCCCTCTATAACACTGATAGAGAGATATGCACAGCTGTTTGCACCCCCCCCCCCTCCAGGTATTAATACTTACTCTGGGTTAATTAATAAGTAAAAAGTGATTTTATTAAATACAAAAAGTAGGATTTAAGTGCTTCCGAGTAATAACAGACAGAACAAAATAAAATAAAATAAAATAAATAAAAACACGCAAGTCTAAGCCTAATACAGTAATAAAACTGAATACAGATAAAATCTCACCCTCAGAGATGTTCCAGTAAGTTTCTATCACAGACTGGAGGCCTTCCTAGTCTGGGCCCAATCCTTTCCCTGGTACAGTCCTTGTTCCAGGTCAGGTGGTAGCTAGGGGATTTCTCATGGCTGCAGCCCCCTCTGTTCTGTTCCACCCCATTATATATCTTTTGCACAAGGCGGGAATCCTTTGTCCCTCTCTGGGTTTCCACCTCTCCTTCTAAATGGAAAAGCACCAGATTAATGATGGATTCCAGTTCAGGTGACATGATCACATGTCACTGTAAGACTTCATTTCCCACTTGCCAGCACACAGGTGTACAGGAAGACATACAAGTAAACAGAGCCATCTACAGTCAGTTGTCCTGGTTAATGGGAGCCATCAAGATTCCAAACCACCATTAATGGCCCACACTTTTCATAATTACAATAGGCCCTCAGAGTTATATTTCATATTTCTAGTTTCAGATACAAGAATGATACATACATACAGATAGGATGACCACACTCAGTAGATTATAAGCTTGTGATGTGTGCACGTTGCTTGTGGGGGTGGTGGTAGGGTCACCCCCGAGAATCGCATGCAGCTCATTGTAGAACCAGCATGTGTGGGGTTCAGCACCAGAACGCCGGTTCGCCTCCCTTGCCTTCTGGTACGCTTGACGAAGTTCTTTGATTTTCACACGGCACTGCTGGGTGTCCCTCTTGTAGCCCTTCTCCCCCGTTCCACGAGCGATCTTTGCACAGATGTCAGCATTTCTTCTGCTGGCTCGGAGCTTTACCTGATCAGACGCTTCTCCCCACACACCGATGAGATCCGACACCCCCTGTGCAGACCAGGCTGGAGCGTGTTTGGGCCCTGTAGTCTCCATGATCAGCTGTGCTCAAGCTGGCATGTTCCCAATGCTGATCAAACAGGAAATGGGAAATCAAAAATTCCCGGGGCTTTAGCAGGGGAGGGGCTGTTTCCTGTGTACCTGGCTACAGTGCAGCAGAGTTAAGAATGATCTCCAGAGCGGTCACAGATGAGCATTGTGGGACACTTCCTGGAGGCCAATTCAGTCGAATTACACAACGCTGCGTCTGCACTACCTCGCAGTCAGCCCATGAAAATCAAATTAAGTGCTACGCCTCTCACAGAGGTGGATTACAGAAGTCGACATTAGAGGCGACTTAGATCAGCGTAAAGGACCTGGTCGTGGAGACACATACATTAACAGGTCAGCGCAGGGTGGCTTCCTTCGACCTAACTTTTTAGTGTAGATCACTAGTGTGGGAGAGTGAGGCTGGTGCAAGCAAGGGAAGTGAAACAGGAAATCACAGGGCACTAAAAGACAGAGAAGACTCCTGTGTGTGTGTGCCGAAGCTGTCTAGCCACTAGAATCTCTCCACTGTGCTATGCCCCTTTGTTTTCAGTTTTAACCAGAGGTGAAAGTAAGCCGGTCTGGTCCGGTACGGCGTGCTGGATCGGACTGGCTTCCCCAGGCTGGCGATTTAAAGGACCCAGGGCTCCCCACAGTGGCCAGAGCCCCGGGCCCTTTAAATTGCCTCCCGAGCCCCGCTGCTGGAGCCCTGAGGTAGCAGTGGCAGGGCTTCAGCGGTGATTTAAAGTGTCTGGGGCTCCCCGCAGCAGCCGGAGCCCCAGGTCCTTTAAAGCGCTGCCCAAGCCCCGCTGCCAGAGCCCTGGGGTAGCAGCGGCAGGGCTCCGGCGGTGATTTAAAGGGCCTGGAACTCCACTGCGGTAGCGGCAGCTGGAGCCCCGGGCCCTTTAAATCGCCCCTGAGCCCTGGGCTCCAAGCCGCCTCTGCAGCTGGTAGCTCGGGGGGGTGATTTAAAGACCCCGGGGGTCCCAGCTGCAGCCGGAGCCCCTGGGCCTTTAAATCTTGATTTAAAGGGCCCTGGTATTCAAAAGCCCCACCTCTTCCGGTTGAGGCCACGGCCCCTGCTCAGAACTCCGGCATACCGGTAAGTCCTTTAAATTACTTTCACCCCTGGTTTTAACTGATTTTTACTGACAAAATCCCACGTTTTACAAAAAGTATTATTTTTTCCCCAATTTTCACCCTACGTTTGTATCTTTCAAATATATGTAAAAAAACTTGTTTTATTAGGAAAATACAATGCATTGCATGAGATATCTGTATTACAATAATACATTAGTCTGCATATATGCAAAGCTGTCTGTTGAAGTAAGGCTATATATTACTCTAGAAGATACACACAATAAACAAACAGGGACACATGCAAGCTCAGAAGTGCGTGCACATCTGAACATACTGATGAATCTCACGCCCACTACGTACACATTTCAAGCTGTTAGCAGACAACGGTTTAAAGATCTGACACACTAAAATGGGAAGAAAATCAAAATCTGTCCTTCCATCCACCAAAATAAACGCCAATATTTACCCAGAAAAATTAATAGTTTTTTGCACCAGTTTTCAACTGCTTTTGTTGTTGTAGTAATAAACACTGAGCCCCAGACCTGCCGCTTTCACAACACGGTGCATGAAATACTTTGCGAAGAACCCCTCCAAGCATCTCACACGCTACAGTGGATACTTCAGCAGAGCCTGAGACAGAGACCCCTGCCATGAACAGTGAGCAGGTGTGGGGGGAGACACAGTGGGGGGGGGTACCACGAGCTATGCCACAAGCCAGTACCTGTTTGATACCCTTCTGCAGTCTAGTCAATCCCAGCAGTTGAGCATGGGGGAGCCCAATGCTGCTGAATGCATTTTTCTTTACAATGTTTAAATTTAGAGATGGTGCCTAGCCCACCCCCAAGCTAACAAGACACAGGTACAGACGCTCCCCGACTTACGCAATCGTTCTGCTCCGGAAAGCCTTGCGTAACTCAAATTTTGCGTAAGTCGGAAACATATACCCAACCATTACGCCAAAAAAACCCCCAACCCTCCTATTTCTAGTTTACGGAACTTTTTCCATAAGCGCGGATTTGCATAAGTCGGGTCTTGCATAACCCAGGGAGCGTCTGTATTGACTCATCCTTGTTTTACTCGTACAAGAAGTAGAGATACAACAAATGGAGGTGGAGTTATCTGCTTTCCATTCCCCCGCTGGGTTTTGGGGGGAGTGGGGAGGTCATGTGGAGCAGTTTGTTTATGTACACAGGGCCGTCCCTTGAATCCTCCTGAGAGATCTCGATGCAACTTTCCTGGAGATACTCTGCAGTCCCCTCCTGAAGGTTTCTACAGGTGGCCGCCTTGTTCCTTCCTCCACAGTAGGGCACTTTCCCATGCCACTTTGCAGTGAATTCAGACGGTACCATTGCAGTAAACAGGCTCGCACCATATGGGCTTGGGCGGCTTTGAGACGCCCACAGTAATGGGCTTTCTGTGCCCTGGTTATCCTCCGGAGTAAGGTATAAGCTCAAATCACCATTGACTGTGCAAACAGTGCCAATGTTCACTGCCATGCAACCGAAATTCCTTCCCATCACCACCCCGCCCTGGCTCACTGTAATCACCATGGCTGGGCTAGAGAGGAATGCTGTGCCATGGAACTCCAAAGCTGTCATGTCAACAAGTATGCCTTATTAAAAGTTTTATAGGAATATGCAAAGCGAGTTTTGAAACTTGTCTTTCCCTTTCTCTTGTGACTATAAATCCAACGATACATCTGTCTGTTTTTATCATCTGATGCTGATGCTGCAGCCCTGCAGGGCTCCCCCTCCACACCTGCAGAATACCTGACCCTGAGGAGGAGAAAGAATAGGAATTCAGGATGACATCTTCAGCGAAATCCTGCAAGCCGGTGTTGCATCAGACTGCGAACAAAGGGCCTGGAGGGCCGACATGCCAGACAGCATGAAGAAGGAGACAGCAGACAAGAGAAAGGGCCCAGGAAAAGGAGCAGGAGATGCACCTGAACATAATGGGTCTTCTCAGGCAGCAAACTCAAATGCTACAGGCCCTGTCTGACCTACAGGTCCAAACATCCCAGACTTCCCACCCTTTGAAATCCTCAAAGAATTCCATGGAAACAGGTCCCTACACTCTCCAGTGTATATCATGTAGCATCCCGGGCTGCATCCTTACACCTACCCCTCCATGCCAGGGGACAGCAAGGAAAACTATAGCTTCATATATACTGACCTGTGAGAACCACGGTTTGTGTATGTGTCGCCAAAATGGACTCCATTTGTGCATGAAATGGACAAAAATGTTTGCTGCCTTTCCAATTTTAAAGATCCGTTCCATTAAGTTACATTAAAAGTTTGTATTGTGTGGCCTGCTTTTTGCACGTTGTTTTCCTGTACTGTTTTTGACACTCAACACATTTCTTTTTTTTTTAAATAAAGTGATTTTTATTAGTTCATAACACATATTGCAGAATGCCGAGCAGGGCCAAAGCATCCAGTATTTGTCAATGTACAGCACTACAGAACTCATGGGTTCAAGAAAACACCCAGTCTTATGTATAAATGTACAGCAAGCCTGGAAGTTAGAACAAAGCCAAGCAGGGGTCAAGAACCAGGGCCCTGGAACAGCTAGGGGCATAGCCAGTGGTGAGCTGGAGCCGGTTCACACCGGTTTGCGCGAGCCGGTTGTTACATTTTGAAGCCGGTTTAGAACCGGTTGTTAAAGGGGTGGGCAAACTCCGGCCCGAGGGCCACATGCGGCCCGCGGGACCATCCTGCCCGTCCCGCCTGAGCTCTCGGCTGGGGAGGGTCCCCTGTGAATTTTTACTCACTTGGCGGCACTCCGAGCCTTCGGCAGCACTTTGGCGGCAGGTCCTTCAGTGCCACTGAAGACCCGGAGCGCCTGAAGGAACCGGTTCTTCAGCTTCCGGCAGCTCATCACTGGGGGTAGCTGAGAGCAGAGCAGAGCCAAAGGACAGACTCAGGGATCAGAAGCCAAATGCCAGAGCCAAAGGGTGAGCCAGAGATGTGGTTGGAAAGCGGAGCTGAGGGTTGCAGCCAGATATCAGAAGCTGAATGACAGAGCTAATGGGTGAACCAGAAACATGGTCAGGAAGTGGAGCCAGGGTTTAGAGCCAGAAATCGTAAGCCAAATGCCAGAGCCAATGGGTGAGCTGCGGCATGGTCAGGGAATGGAACTGGGGATCAAAGCCAGGGGTGTCAAGGATGGAAAAGGGTAGGAACTGAAACAGGTGCCAACAGGCTGGGTAGGAACAGGAGCAAGGGCAGGAGCATGCCCAGGCCGGATGGGAGCAGCCACAGGGAGCAGGAGCGAGCGCAGCTGCAGCATGGGATGCATTGAGCAGCCAGTGAGCTCTGTCTCTGCTGGGTCAAGCTGTAGATTAACTCTGCCCCTCCACCAATCAGGAAGTGCAGTCAATCAGGATCAGCTATAATGCCAATGAGTTGCTAGGAGACTGACCCTGCAGCCGCTGGCTCCCTGACACAATGCAGCTGTCGTTCCAGTGTCCCTGCGCTGTGGGGTTGGGGCGAGCTCAGCACTCAGATCCAGGAACGTTCTGCAGCCACTGCTCGTCATCTAGGGTGACCAGACACCAAATGTGAAAAATCAGGACGGGGGTGGGGGTAATAGGAGCCTATATAAGAAAAAGACCCAAAAATCGGGACTGTCCCTATAAAATCAGGACATCTGGTCACCTTATCATCATCCCAAACTTGCATTACGCTGCGATCCCACGAGTCAGTGCTTGTTTCTCGGGCCCAGAAGTGGCGCTTCACCGTCCACAACGACTCCATGAACGCCACCAACGACCCTGAACGGCTTTTCACTACGTTCCTTAGTAAACTGTCCTGGGAGAAACCGTCGCGTCCCCCCTTTTTGTGTGGTCTGCAAATACCCGAGGATAGGGCATCCTGTGTTCGCAACATTCATGAGAACAGTGCTGAGCTCTGCAGGCGGCATGCTTCTGTCAGAGAAGGCAGACACTGCAAAACGCCACATAGGTTCGTGGGATTTTTTTAAAAAAAGGTGCAACAATTATGGAACATGGATGGCATTATAGGATGGAGAAAGCTGCACGCTGGGAACTTGAGCCCTAGTTCTGAGAGATCCCTGCGCAACTCATTTTTACCTCACAACACACTGCAAAATTTCCCCCAAAGGCCCGGTGCATGACACGCTGAGATGCCTACCCACAGCGCACCACACTCTGCGTCGACACAACCGTTCCTGGTGAGTGCGCACAGTGCCGATGCAAGCAGCCAAGTAAGCGTGCACGCAAGCAATATACCAATTTCAGTGGCTGTACCCTGACACAGGTAACTTGTGTTGACCAAAGTTTGTCGTGACCAGAACAGGGAAAGAACTGAGCCCTTTCTTTTATTTGAGATGATTATTCAGGCCAATTTCCTCTCCCCCCGCAACACTGCATCTCCCACACTCTAGACTAGGGGGATCAGGTTTGTAGGAAGAGGCTTCCCAATGTCAGTGAGCTCTGTGTGGAGAAACCTTCAGAACCCCTTGGGCTCGAATTGTCACTGGGGACAATGGGGGAGGCAGATCAAAAGGACAAGAACAACGTCAATACAGAAAGAATATGTCTGTATTTAGTGTTGCCAATAATGGAATCGCTGTGGCAGCAACAGTGATGGATGCTTTGGAAATGTTCATAAATAAAATAAAATGACAATACATATTAGACTGTATATGTATTTATTATTGGGCAATACATGAGGTTAACCTATGCATCTTACAATACATGTGACACGTCACTGCTTTTATCCTAGCCAAAATAAATGCTATCTGCTATTGTAATATACCTAGATTAACCTCACATACAGCCCAATATTAATTAAAACAGCATAACCTAATACTGATCATTTATACTGTATTTGTGTCATATGGTATCTATATAATGAACAGGCTAGATAAATGCTACTGTATGACATATATATTGTTCCAACTGATAAAAGCTGCAGAATTAGAAAGGAAGAAAAAAGGTTTGATAGACACAGATGTGGGTGCTATTTGTGTATTCATGTGAATCATGATTTCTGTTCTGACGTTTACCTTAGTGGGTGAGCAGAGCACTAGAGATCATGCACAAGTGATACAGTCATGATGTGATCTGTCCATCTCTAACCCGAGGGAAGATCAATGTCATAACAGAGATCAGTCAGAATTTTTGTATAATTTTTTGTATCATAGAATCAGGTAGGTCTGGAAGGGACCTTGAGAGGTCATCTAGTCCAGTCCCCTGCACTCATGGCAGGACTAAGTATTATCTAGACCATCCCGGACAGGTGTTTGTCTCTTAAAAATCTCCAATGATGGAGATTCCACAACCTTCCTAGGCAATTTATTCCAGTGCTTGACCACCCTGACACTTAGGAAGCTTTTCCTAATGTCCAACCTAAACCACCCTTGCTGCAATTTAAGCCCATTGCTTCTTGTCCTAGCCTCAGAGGTTAAGGGAAATAATTTTTCTCCATTCTCTTTATAACAACCTTTTATGTACTTGAAAACTGTGATCACGTCCCCACTCACTCTTCTCTTCTCCAGACTAAACAAACCCAGTTTTTTCAATCTTCCCTCATAGTATTTGCTTTATTTTTTTTGGTCTCTGCTGCCTGATGGCATATTTCCGGTTCCAAATGAGGCGTGTGGTTGACTGGTCAGTTCATAACTCTGGCGTTCGTAACTCTGAGGTTCTACTGTATGTAAAAAAAACCATTTCAGACAAAAGTGTGAAATTCAAGTCGGCAGTGTCCTTTCTAGCTACTTATATGGCCCCATCATGGTAATTTCTGAGTGCACCTTTCAGTGATGTCAGTTCCCCAAACGATAAATGCCGTGGATGTTCTTTATGTGCAGGTGTGTGTACGTGTGCACATGTGTGTCTTAGTGCATCACATGCATGGGCGCAGACACACGCAAGTGCTTATAGTGACAGGGCTGGATTATGACATTCTGAGGCCTAAGCGGTGTCAAGTGTAAGAGGCCCCATACCATAAAAAAAAAATTCTTATTTTCACAGAAAGGACATTGAATTTATAAACATGAAAGCTTTATATTTGAATATATATACAAAGGCAAAGTTGTAAAAATAGAATAATAATCTAACTAAAACACGTCTTGCAATAGGTCTGTTTACATTATAAAATAGTTTCAAATTAACATATTTTCGTCTAGGATTTCTTAATTAGTAGATATGAAAACTTTATATCTACAGCAACACAAAAGCAGTTACAGTTACACAGACCAGCTTACTTAATGGAAGCAGTACAACCTGCAGTATGTCTGTTTCCACATCACATTAATTTTAACACTGAAATTTAAAATATTTTCTTTCATAATTTTTGGAGAGCAAAGTCACTGATGCTGTCCTCAAATGACAAGCTATGGAGTTTGTCACTTTCGATGGACAGAATGCTTAGGGCAGATTGATTTTCTTGCAGCATTTTCGAGGCAGACATCTCTCTTCGCGTTCGCTTCTCTATCCTCGGTCTCCCCCAGGACCACTAATTAATCTCGAGTAAACACCTCAGACGCACAGAGTGACAACAAGCTATATGCATGAAAGAGAAAGAAAGAATTTACCAGAAAAAAGACTGGTAATCTCTAGATAGGCATTGAGAAAGTGAGAAAAACTAGCCTATATTCAAGCAAATATAATGAATATTATAGGCTTTAATAGCCAATAAATCATATATGCACATAGTTTGAAATAATTTGCTCATCAGGTACTCAGAATATTTTGATATATATGTATATCTTCCTTCACTTCCCCCAATACTCTCTATTTATCCTTTCATCAGCACTCTCTGATATTTACTGGGAAGGTTCTGGAAACTGATGGAGGGAAGCCAACACAAATTTATCCTCCTCAAGAAAGGTCGACTAGACCCAAGTCCATAAGACGATCACCTGCAAATTCAATCATGTGAAACCTGGATAGCCCATGAAGCAGAAAGCAGCGTGCACACTAAAATACACAATTGTACATATGTACAGATCCAAAGAAGAAAGAACACACTAACACTTAAGAAAATGAAGAAAAACAGGACCAAAGGCACTCTACAACCAAGTGTTCTGGACTGTAAACAAAAGATGGCGGCCGTCCGGCTATTACCAGCCAAGGGGGAAGCTATACATGACGTCACTCCTAGGTCAGTCCCATACGAGTCCCACAAGCATGGCAGGATGGCTTCACGACACTGCCATCTCCGACCTCACTTTTTCCCCCAATTTTATTGGCAGTGAGATTATTTATTTATTTAACTGATTGACGAAGGCACGGTGAGAATTTTACCAGTCGCAGCTGGCCAACAAAACAGTGCCTTAGGAG